GCGCGGCTCGGGCGCCCTCTGGCGGTCACGGGGCCCCGCGTGTCCTCGCCGCTGCGCCAGGCCCGGGGCTCGATCTCTGCCCTCCGCAGGGGTGCGCGCGATCGACCATGGGGCCCCTGAGCCGCGAGGCTTGGGCCCAGCGCCTGGTGGCCTTCCGGGCCAGCCCTTCCGCCTTCCTGGCGGGTGCCGACGGTGAGGATTTGGGTCGTGACCTGCTGAGTGACCTGAGGAGTGAGAAGCTGAGCGAGCAAAGCAAGGTATGCCTGGCACGTGACCCCTGCGCATGGCCACAGGCTCACCCCAGCCTCCTGCGCTGTGAACCGACCTGTCTTCATGATTTCCCCTTGAATCTCCCTCCCAGGTTTCTTTGCTGGCCCTGAGCTTGGAATACCCAGCCGAGCTGTGGCCTGACGCTGCTGCAGCCGAAGCGGCCGCCACCTCTTTGTTGGACACCCTGCTCCTTCTACCCCCACGGCCCTCAGCTCTCCGGAAGCCGCTGCTGCTGGCGGCCACCACCCTGCTGGTGACAGGAGGTGCGCTGGGCCCCACCTCGGCAGCCTCCTGCCGGCTCCTGCCTCTGCTGCTAGGCCTCGCCTCCGGCCGGGATGTGGGGCGAGGCTTTGGCCCCATCTCGGAACAGCGCCCCCTGCAGGCCACAGCGTGCGAGTGCCTGCGCGAACTGGAGAGCTGCAAGCCTGGGCTGCTGGGGGGCTCCCTGGGGGTGCTCAGGAGTCGGCTGGGACAGGAGGGCCCCATTCAGCCGCTCAGCCTGTTGCTGGCACTTTCTCTGCGGGACACCTTGGTGGTACAGTCCAGGTCTGGGGCTGGCCTGCAGGGCTTGCTTGTGTCTGGGGTCTCCACTGGAGGTGGTCCCTGGAACTGGACCCTAGCTAAAGAAGGTGGTGCCTGCCTTCTGCCCCAGGCACCCAGCTGGCCCGCCACTGAGGAGGGGGAGCATGGCCTTGCAGTGCTAGAACTCAGTCCTGAGGAGGCTCGGGAGCTGAGGGCTGTTGTGGCCCAACTTCTGGACGCCTCCTATCTGCTCACTCCTGTGGCCCAGGCCCAGCTTCTGTGGCTGCTAGGTTGGGCCCTGCGAGGTCTGCGGGGACAGCCACCAGCGCTCTTCAAACCCCAGCTGGTACGGCTCCTGGGCACAGCACAGCTGACACTGCTGCATGCTGTTCTTGCTCTCAAAGCAGCCTTCGGGGAGGCACTGTTCACTGCTCAGGATGAGGCCCTGCTGCTCCACCGGCTTGCCTTGGCCGCTCAGCATCCGTCCCTGCCCCTGCCTACCCACCTCTTTTACTTGCATTGCCTCCTGAGATTCCCTGAGAATTGGCCACTGGGCCCTGAAGGGGAGGAGGCTGCCCCGTTGCTGCTGGGGCCCCAGCTGTGCCGTAGCCTCATGCCCAGTCTCCTGCATGACCCCATGGCCCTGCTGGCCCGCCTGCATTTGCTGTGCCTGCTGTGTGCTGAAGAGGAGGAGGCCGACCAAGGCCAACTTCAGAGCCCGCGGCGGTACCTGGAGGAGCTGCTGGCTGGCTTGCGACAGAGGGCGGCCCTGGATGGCAGTCCCCGGACCTCGGCCACTCTCTGCTTCCAGGCTTCATACCTGGTTGCCAGCTGCCTGGCTGGGCAAACAAAAGCGCTCACACCCTTGATTCACGGGTTGGCCCAGCTGTACCGAGCTCGGCCCATGCTGGCCCCCCACCTTGTGGACTTCTTGGATCAGGTGGGTCCCGAGCTGGGAGAGCCCCTCAAGAGGGTACTGCAGCAGGAGGTGGTATCCACGCCTGGCAGGAATGAAGCTCTTCGCTGGCACCTGCAAATACTGGCAAAAGTAGCAGAGGGGGATGCCCAGAGTGCCACGCTCAGCTTTCTGCAGGATGCCGCTGCCCACTGCACAGACTGGAGCCTGCAGCAAGCCCTGCTGCGGGTGTGCCGGGCTCTGTTGCAGGCAAGTGGAGGAAGAGGCCTGGCCGACTTGCTGCAGGTGCTGGCCAGGCAGCTGGAGGACCCTGACGGGCGGGACCATGCCCGCCTCTACTACATCCTCCTGGCTCATCTGGCAGGGCCCAAGTTAGGGGCAGCCCTGGGCCCCTCACTTGCAGCGCCTGCACTGGCCTCTTCCCTGGTGGCTGAGAACCAGGGCTTTGCTGTGATGCTGATGGTGCAGGAGACCCCAGCTCCCATTCGGCTGAGTGTGGGGCCCCGGATGGCCAAAGGCCCATTACCAGTCTTGCAGCTTCACATAGAGGCCCTGGAGCCCGTCTACTCTCTGGAGCTGCGCTTCCGCGTAGAAGGACAGCTCTATGCACCCTTGGGGGCCATCCATGTGCCCTACCTGTGTCCTGGCCGCCCTGCCCACCCTCTATTCCTGCCCCTGCAGCCTCGAAGGCCAGCACCTGCACAGCTGGAGGTCCAAGCCCTTTTCAGCACACCTGCTGGTCTCACATGCCACTCCCCCCTGCCGCCCCTGTCTGTGAACTTCGAAGACCTCTTTTTGCCTTTCCCGCCGCCCCCAGATGGGGCAGAACAAGGCTTCTTTGAGGGGCTCTGGGACTCCTGCCTGCCAAAGGGTGCCGAGAGTCGTGTGTGGTGTCCACTTGCGCCACAAGGGCTGGAGACCTTGGTGTCTCGCAACCTGGAGCCCTTCGTGGTAGTGGCCCAGCCCCCCACCAGCTACCACATAGCCATTCGCCTGCCGCCAGCCTCCACACTCCTGCTGCGGCTCGAGGCGGCCCAGATGGACGGGGTGCCGGTAGCCCTGCGGACGGATGACTGGGCCGTGCTGCGTCTGGCGGGGGACTATGTCCGCAGGCTGGCGGGCCCTGAGTGAGCCCTGGGAAGCCAGGTGGGAGCAGGACAGTGGCCCTTGTGGGAGCTGCCAAGGGCAGGAACGCACACCTGTGCAGTAGCTCCTCTCCTATAAAAACCCACAGTCACCGATCACCCTCACTGGCTTGTGTTCCTTTGGATCCCGCTTAGGAGCAGGCTTGCTGAAGTAGGGTCATAGGCCCCAGACTGAACCCTCAGATGACAAGTGCCATGTTTCCTTCCTGCTTAGAGAGGTTAAGAATCTCCAGAATCTGCCCAGAAGGCAGGAGGAAAAAACATCCTCTCTGCTTCCCAGAAAGGGTCTACCTTTGCCTGAGGTCACTCAGATTTATATATTTTATATTTTAATTTATTTCATTTCCATTGCTCTTCATTTCTCTTCACAGGTCCAAATTTATGTATGTATGTATGTATGTATT